GACAGACAGAAAGTGAGAAATCACGCACAGGGAGGATGGCCATGCCACAATCTCTTCTTCTCTAGTCTCCTCCTCTTGGGATTACGGACATGCATGCGCACATGCCCAATATGAGTTTCAAGCTGCTGGTCTGGGATTCAAACTAGCTGGCTGTGTGGGAGTCCAGGGTCTTAACCACTACAAACTAGCTGGCTGTGTGGGAGTCCAAGGTCTTAACCACTACAAACTAGCTGGCTGTGTGGGAGTCCAAGGTCTTAACCACTACAAACTAGCTGGCTGTGTGGGAGTCCAAGGTCTTAACCACTACAAACTAGCTGGCTGTGTGGGAGTCCAGGGTCTTAACCACTACAAACTAGCTGGCTGTGTGGGAGTCCAAGGTCTTAACCACTATGCCACCTGCTGGCCTCTCTCTCTTGCTTTCAAGATGGAGAGTAAAGAGAGAGTGAGACAGGTACCGTCGACAAGGTCTTGCCATGATGCCATGATTCTCATGTGCAGACCACTCAAGGGGACCTAGGATCTGAATCTGGAGCCTCCCAGCATTGTGACAAGGTGCTGGACCTCCTAGGACACCATGCCTAGGTCAACACATGAATCTTGAGGGCCACATTCAATCATAGCAGGAGGTTAATGGTTGATGAAGGTGGGGGGTGGGAAAGGGGAATGATGGATTACGCATGGCCCAAAAGACAGATTTCTCTGGAGAGGTAACAATGTACTAGAAATGATTATGATTACGGCTCAATGATTCCATAAATCTACTACGAAAGATTGAATTGCATTTATAACAGGTGAAGTTTATGATTTGTAAATTATATCTCAATAAAGTTGTAAGATTTAAGGAATTATTAATCAAAATTGGCAGAAAGAAAATAGGAATAGCAACCTTAGAAATGAAAATACAGGGCCAGTGGATCCCACATGGCCAATTATGTGGTTTGTGTGCCAGACCTGGTGGCTTGAAAAATATGCTGGGCACGTGTGCGTGCATGCCCAAGATTCCGAGAGGATACTAGAGGAGAAGGGACTGTGGCATGGCTATCCATTGTAGGGGGTATTTTCTCACTTTATCTCTCTCTCTTAACTGTTTCTGGCGAGCACCCACACCCTACAGCAAAAATTAAACAAAAAATGAAAAATACAGTTATTGAAATTTTAAAAATTAATAGGTGAGAAAAACTCTAGGCTGAACCCATTATTTCAAGGATTGGAAAACTGAATGGCAGGATTAAAGAATTTACTATGATGCAATACAGAGACTAGAAAAAAAAATAAACAGCATTTCAGAATACTAATGAAAAAGCTCCTTCACTCACTTAATGGCAGTTCCAGAAAAGAGAATGAAGGTAATGGCTTGGAAACAGTATTTCTAGAAAAAATTATTAATAATTTTCCAAAATTAAGGAAAGCAAATGTATCCTATAGTAAATATTCTCTTACTTTGCAGAGGATAATCACAAACTAATACGAAGACAGTTCCAATGAAACTGGTGAACATCAAAAACAAACCAAACCCTGGGAACCAGCAGTTAGCGCAATGGCTATGTTGCTGGACTCCCACGTAGTCAACCGCGGTTCGTGTCCTAGACCCAGTGGCTTAAAACTCACGCCGGGCACGTGTGCGTGCGTGCCCAAGATCCTGAGAGGAGAATGGAGGAGAAGGGATTGTGGCGTGACCATCCCCCCTGGGGGGTGATTTCTCGCTTTCTGTCTCTATGTCTCTCTCTGTCTGTCTGGCAAGCGCACGTGCCCTATAGCAAAAATCTCTCCCCCCAAAAAAAATCTACGAAAGAATGAAATTAGATTGGCAGTAGGATTTTAAACTAGCAAAAATTAGAAACATTAATGTGCTGTGGGAAAATTACTGTTCACTAGAATTTTATACCCTGATCAATTGTCATATGATAGTGAGCAAAATGAATACATTTTCTTTTCTTCTCTTTCTCTCTTTTTTAATAGTTTGCTAAAGAGTGCATGTGCTCACCAGAGAGAGATGGAGAGGCAGGGGAAGGAAGAGGAAGAAAGCACCCCCCAATGGGGCATGGGGCATGTGGCAATCCCTTTCTGTTTATCCATCCAGTTGGGATTCTGGGCATGCATGCACACACTCCCAGTGTGTTTGTCAAGTTTTCAGGTCCAAGATTCAAACAGTGCAATCGATTGTGTGGGATTGAGCTCCCTAAACCACTAGCTATGGAGCTGGCCCAATAAATACATTTTCAAATACACAAAGCGTTCCTTCCTTCACCAGGGCCTCTACACAAAGAACCATTAAAGGATGGACTTCAGTCAGAAGAAAAGTGAACCGAAAGGAAATGCTTCCGATTGAAGATAAAAATAAATAAATTGATAAAAATTGATAAAAATAGCAGATTTAATTTTGACTATAAAAACGATTTTTAAAGTTTATTTACTTATTTCCTCCATGAGCAAGAGAGCAAATGAGAAAGTGACAGCATTCCCAAATGACACCATGACCCATGGTGGCCTCAGCCAGCCCTGGAGCAGGGCCGTGTGAGTGCCCAGTGGACTAGGAGTCTCCAGACTGGACTCACGGTCCTTCCCAGGTGGGCCAGCCTCACGTTTACACTGTGTGACCATCTGGCCCTAAGGATATTTTTTAAATGTAAAAAGTAAAGCTAAAACTCTAGGTAGCAGTGAGAAGGTGGGTAAGAGGAGTGTTGTTAAATGAGGAGAACAGGCAAAGCGTTTCCATAGGAAAAACAATTACATGATAACTTTCTTAGAAAAAATTATAGTTATATATGTATGTTTGTTTTATTTTTTATTTAAGGAGATTTTTGCTATAGGGCATATTTGTTCACCAGAGAGACAGTGAGACAGAGAGACAGAAAGTGAAAAATAACCCAGCCCCGCATGATCCCTTCTCCTCTATTCTCCTCTTGGGATTTTGGACACGCACACACATGTGCCTGATATGAGTTTGAAGCCACTTAGTCTGGGACTCGAACTGCGGTCAACTATGTGGGAGTCGAGGGACGTAACCATGACACCATCTACTGGTCCTGACCCATTATTTTTTTAAATTTATTGTGTTTTTTATTTATGTATGTTGAAAACTAAAAGACAATTCTGAGAATAGAAATAAAGCCTAAAGCTCTCAAACCAGCAGTGGAATACAGATCATATTACTATTAATAATTCAATAAAAGGCAAGAGTAGAGGAAGGGAAGGAACAATGGTAAATGAAAACCACAAAAAATGATGGAAGGATGAGCCCAAATACAGTAGCAATCACAACAACTGTGCACAGCTTACACTTGCCCAGCACAGACGGAGCTACAACGAAATGCACAGATACGTGTCTGATAGACGCAAAGAAGCCCCAAAGGCTGCACGTGTCATTATAACGTCAGAACCTTCTCAGATAGCAGTCAGCAGAGACAGGGTGAAGGGAGGCGCTGGTCCTAGCGATTAGCCAGGATTTCCAGGGAGGAATATATGTTAGGGAGCACTGCCTATGTGCCAGGGACCACCTCTTCCTCCTACACCGCTGTGTCCTCAGTGTACCCCGACAGGTGCACCAGGAACCACCTGGCTGGGTGCTGCCACACCACAAAGCAGGAGCAGCTTACTCACTTTATCCCACCAGTGCTCAGCGTGGTGCTGGATGCCAGCAAGCCCTCGGAAATCCCCTACAACGCAAGGAGCATCTCTTCCATGAAACCTCCCCTAATGGTCCCTGTCCCAAGGCCTTGGTTTCTACTTCAGGAGCATGTACAACCTGAAACGCCCAGTTTAGCAACGGATCGGGTAGTAATGTCCTCTGGCTTTCACTCAATACTTCAAACCTTGTTTCTCCAAAAGTATTTTAGTCTTTGAAGACTGGGAAGATGCCTTACACTGAGCCAGCGCCTTGGGTTGATTGTTTACTCAGATGAAGGTGGGTTAATCCACAGTGCCAGCTGTCCATGCCAAGGCCTCCCAGAAGGCACCTCCATTCCCTATTCAGCCCGCAAAGAGATCACGCACAAGTTCTGGTGCAAAGGACGGGGAGAAGTTACAGGCTGCCAGCGCTCAGTTCCAAGGCTCTGTGTTTTATTCCTTCTGGCAAAAAGGTGGGAGGAGTTGGGGAATGCCTTTGACCCTACAGAAAAGTAGGCATGGGAGAAGAGGAATGGTGAGGAGAGGGCTTGGTCGTTCCCTGCTGGAAGGAGGCTGGGCCGCCCTCCAGGGAGCTCTCCCCAGGGTATTAGACACAAGGACGCCCCAGACAAGCCGCTTAATGCAGCCCCAGGACACCTGTGCAGAGGACCCGGAGGGACACTGCTCTCCACCTGCAGACCCGGCACCTGAGGGAGCCTAGCTAGGAAGCCGGGCAAGCAGAGGCATCTCGGGGCTGGCCTTCTCTGGGAGACTTCTGCGGGGAGCCGCAGTTCGCCCAGGGGTGAGGTTGGAGAGGGGCGGGCTGACCTCCCGAGGTCCTGGCTAATCCGTAACTCTAGGCGAACCGCGCTCTGCTGCTCTCGCTCCTGCGCACGTCTGCACCCGTGGACAGCAGGTCCCCTGGCTGCCTTCCAGATGGAGTACGGCGCCACGCTAGCTCCCGGCGCTCCACGAGGACGCCAGTGCTTGCTGAATGGAGGAGTAACCGAGTAAGGGCTTCGGGGGCCCGCGTGACCTCCTGGGCTGCAAAGTACAGCGCAGAATGCAATCACATTCCGGGCACGATCGGAGGAGCGCCCGCAAATACACGCACACTCTCACACACGCACACTCTCACACATGCACACTCACACACACACACACACACACTCAAACTGCTTGCACGGCCCCGCCTTCGGGAGGCAGAGACCACCTGCTCCGCAAGGAGGCTGCGGAGTTTCCCGGCCGGAATCCTCTCCGCGGCCGCTTTCGGACCGCGCCTCCGAAGGTCAAGCGCCCAGGTGCAGGCCGCTCCCTTCCGGACTGGCCTCCGGGACAGTTTCCGTCCAGGCCCGGCCCGGCCTCCCGGGGCGCGGCCCGCAGGGCACCCTCACCTTGGTGAGCTGCGCGATCTTCTTGCACATCTTCACGTGCATCTCGGGGTCGCAGTCCACCCTCCCGCTGGCGCCGCCGCACGCATCGGCTTTGGGGCTGGGGCAAGCCCCGGGCGGGGGCGTTGTGCTGCTGACGGCGGGGGGCA